GTCTGCTCAGGCGACGACTGGGGCGGCTTCTCGGTGGGGGACCTCTGGGCGGACGAGGCGGTGTTTCAACCTGCTCCAGCCGCCCCTGCTTTTGTTTCTCTCTCGCCAGTTGAGAATATTAGACAGTCGAACAGCACAGAGTACGAAGCTCACGTGCCCCCCCTTCCCGACCCCCCGACCCCCCCAGGCCCCGCCGCCCAGGGGCCATCTTCCGACGAGCAGTCCGAAACGTTGGCGCGGTCCCCCGATTCCCAGTGATGTGTGGAAGGAACAAAGAGCTCGGATTGGTTTCATTTCTGCCGCCCAGCGCCCCCCCTCGGGGGCCGTCGGCCGTTCCGCAGCCTACCGCCCCGGCTCAACATATTCAGGCCCGCTTGCGGCTTTGCGCGCCAGCTGGGCCCGAACCGCAGAGGCTTCCTTATTTACGCACCGTCGGCAGGTCCCATCTGGAGCGACTCGCGGAGAGGCGCTTCAGTCCAAGGTCTCGGTCGCGCGCCAAGCCCCCCCCCCCCGACTGGCGCCTCGCAAAGACAGGGTCAGCGGCTGGTGGGCACGGGCCAGCGCAATCACCCGCAGTATTACACGGCATCTCCGACGGGCAGGTGGCGACGAACAATTTGCCATCCTATATCGCGCGGGCCGCAGCCTTCTGGGCGACGCGCCGTGTCAGGCGGAGCAGATCACCAAGCCCGCCGACAGATTCGACTGGGGGCACTGGCAGCAATTGCTTGAGAACCTTCGCGGCGCATCCTTGGCTCGGCTCGATGTCAGCTCGCAGGCAGTCGACAGATTGGCCAGTCGCAGCCAGAGACGGGCTGTGAGCAGATCTATGATTGAATTTCGAGAATGGGCTGAAACGGCGCCTGCCATCGGGGCCCTCCAGAAAAAATTGAGGACCCCAGCCAGAGGTGCACGTCATTCAGATAAACGGTCAGATTTTGGTACGCCCAAAGGACATCATGGATTCGATGAGCAGAGAATGGGGGCGCGTATGGACTCCAAATTTGTTATGGGTGAATCGCCAACAAGCTGAACTAACGCGACCTACAAGATCTCGCTGCTCAGATACGCGACAGGGTACGCGACGAAACCTTGCCGGATCTCGCCATTCTTTACATCAGGTGCGCGTTAGGACAGATCAAGTCCTCTGCGGCTATGGGAGTAGATCGGTTGAGTTTGCACGATCTTTTGCGGCTGCCTGATGAGGCCATTCCAGCAGTAATCATAAGTTTATCAGTTTGCGAGTCCACGCAGACTTGGCCTCATCAGGTTTTCCTCGCCTTCGGCGCTCTTCTTCCCAAGAAGGTAGCAGGGGATATGATCGCCGGACTTTCCCGCGCTAGTTCAGGGCATGGTCTCGGGCGCGTGAGCGGCATATCAAGAAGTGGACCTCAGACTGCGAGGCGCACCGGGGCGCGGCCATCAAGGGCAGCGCTACAGTTCGGGAAGTAATCCTCAGATCGATCGGCGAGGGGCTCGCTGCCAGGCGTCAGATGCATCGTGGCAACGGGCCCCTCGATATCAGCATATTCTACGATCCCATCGGGTGGCTGCAGCTCGGCAGGGCGGCCATGCGGTTTGATTTTCCTGTTGAGGTTTTGGGCCTGGAGCTGCTGCAGTGCATGTTGGCTCGTTGAATGCGGCAGGGGGGCGCGTGCTCGGAGCCCCTCGCACCGCCCCGCTCAGTGGTGTAAAGGGGCTCCGAGGAGGCACTCGGTTTGCCAAATGTGCCGCGTCGCGCATCATGCAGAGGCTTGCCGCGGCACGTGTCCGGATGTCCCAGCGCCTGTGGCAAGGCGATCTCGGCCAATCGGTCACAAGGTCCAGACAGAGCATTCGCAGGCAATTGGTCAGCTGCTTAGTGGGCACATGCCGCAGCATGCAGGAAGCAGGTCTCGAGATGTCGCCCAAGAGTGTAGTGGTGTGCGCCAAGTTTCAGGACGCTTGCGACGTCGTGGGGCGGGCGAAGGCCTTCGGATTCTATTTGAAGCGGCACCGCAGTCAGTATACTTTGGGTGTGATCTTGGAGGAGGCTCAAGGCAGGCACGTGCCAATCGAGTCTCGAGACAGAAGAAACACAGTCATATAAGCAAGAAAGTTGTCACATATGCGAGCTGCACTCAGCGATATCGCGTCGCCACGCGGCTCAAGGCTCAGGGGGCGCGGGCGGCTGACACCAACGGTCGCCAGCTTCACGGAGTGCATGGGGGCGAAATGGTCCAGATTCGGCGACGATTCTGTAGCGCCCTAGGCCCCGGGGTCTCTGGCGCCTGGTCGGGATCCCGCCTATCGGCTGCCGCAAGAGTGCTTGTGGCTCTGGCTCTCATGTTGAGCTCGGCGATCCGCCATTCGTAAGGGCGTCACCAGACCTGGGCCTCCCTCGTCCGGGGGTTGCAAGCCCTCGCCGCAGCCCGACGCTCGCAGCGCATCAGAGGGCCCCAAGGTGCGGTCATCAGCTACCTCTTTCAGGTTCGGTGGCAACCGCTGGGGCCCGCATCTTGGAGGACGCCGGTCGGGGGCGACGGTCTCGAACATCATTGGGCCTTCGACGCCATTGTGTCGAATCAACCGATTTCCCAGACGAACTATTTCACAGCTTCGGCGAGGCGCTCATGGTAATTTGATCATTGGCAGAGAGCAGCTGAACACTTCGGAGGCTCTGGGCTGGAAGCAGGCGCGCATCTACTGGCTCAGCTCCAGGAGGTGCCAGGAGGGCGAGAGCTGGCAGGCCTCGCGACGGCGATTGCCATCGGTGGCACCTGGCCCGGAGCTCGACGTCAGGAGCGTGCCGAGCAGAAGCTGAATATCACCTGCCCACGCTGCTGTCAAGCCGATGAGGCAGCATTCCATCGGATCTGGGAATGCGAGGGCAGGGGCGAACATCACATTTACGAGCTTTCCCAACAACTGGTTGGACAGGCCTACGCGAGCGGGGAAGCAGAAGTCTGCTTCTGGACACGTGGGCTCATCCCCTGTACCTGGATGCAGTTCCCAGCCCCGCAGCAGCCCGAGGATTGGCACGTGTCCACGGGCAACTACATCGAAGGCTGCGCAGGGCATGGGACGTCGGATTGGCCTATGTACGTCTTCGGCGACGCCAGTGGAGGGGCTGACAGTGCCGACCCCCGCTTGCGCAGGGTCGGAGTCGGCCTCGCGTGCTGGGGCTTAACGGATGACGTGCGGCTCGAGCTGGGTATCTGGGGAGGATTACCTGGCGGCCGCCGAACGGTGGCTAGGGGCGAGGTGCTAGCATTGCTATTGGCGCTGCGGTCCTGTACAGGCCATTGCGTGTATGTCACGGACAATGAATCGGTTATCCTGGGCTGGTACAGCCGCCGATTTCAGCGCCCCACGGGGCCAGACAGCGACCTCTGGTGGGACATTGGGCTGTGGTTGGCAGCTCGCCCCAATCAGGTCTGCACGATGGTCTTTGTGCATTCTCGCCAGGAAGCCGACGACATCATTTCTGGCCGGGCTCCAAGGCTTTTGGTCTTGGGGAACGCCATGGCCGATGCATGTGCGGCCGTGGGCGCCGACCTCGCCCGCGTGCCCGAGTCGCGCAGGTTTCGTTTAAACATGATCGAGCACAAGGCTTTCTAGTCCGCATGGGGGCCCTCCAGAGCATCCGTGGGGCCCTTCAGTGCGAAGCTGAGTTCGGCAAAAGAGCTTCCAAGAGCAAGCGTGCGAAAGTGCTCGTGAGGCCTCCTGGTCCGTCCATCTGCAGTCTGTTCGCCTCACCTCATGTCTTGTGCGAGCAGAACAGTATAGCATGCGATCGGTATAACAGGGGCCGACCACGCACGCCAAATGTAAGGGCTGGCTCGATTCTGCTTGTTTTGATCTCGTTTGTCTCGGCGGGACTCTCTTTGAACCCCCTCCAGGATGGCGGGTGCATATTGCAGGGGGTTCCCCGCACTCGAGCCACAAAATTCGGTATCACTCGGGGGTCGGGCTGTGGTTTTGCACCATTTGTGGGTATTTTGCCCCCCAGCAGCTCAAAGAGCTTGCCCGAGAGTGTGCCGAAAAGGGTTGAAGGTAATCGCGGGGATTACCTAACCAGGATCTCCAAGGGTCTTTGGTCCATAGCCTCCAGCAGCGCTGGGAGGGCCAAGAAGGATAAATCCATGGTTTCACTGCCACTCAACCGGCCTAGTCGCCATATGCAGAACTCCTCCTCCTCCTCCTCCTCCTTCTCCTCCTCCTCCTCCTCCTCTTCCTCCTCCTCCTCCTCCTCCCCTCCTCCACGGGAACGGGCCCAGGAATGGTCCTCACTTCAGCTTTCTCGCAGCCGTGGTCCCCGCCCCCCTCGCCTCCCCGAGGGAATCCCGTGCAAGCTATGACGCTGGCGCAGGCCTCTCGCTGGGTCAAGGCGAATGGGGTTTTCCGAGAATTCTGAATTTTGCAGGGCCATGGTGGTATGGGGCCGGGCTTGGGTGCAGGATCTTGCGCAGTCTTGCAAAGCCTGATTGGTCTGGGTGTGGATTGACAAGCCAGGTCAGTAGAGCCCCGAAGTGCGCGGTCCCTGAATTTCCGAAGCGTTCTTTGGATAGCGTTTGTTCACTCCCTGGCGACAACGGGCGTGACCGTGTTGAGGCAGTGCGTGGGGGAGGCGGGGAGGGGGCAGGTCACGTCGCGCTTCGCGCCCACGCCGCCGGGGAACGCCCAGGAATTGCTCAGTCCCACAAGTGTACGCGCGAAAAATCATGACATGACCAGATGGGGGGGATGATGGGGGGAGGGGGAGGGGCGATGGGGGAAGGGGAGGGGAGGGCGAGGGCGGGGGGGCGATATTGCGAGCAGTAAAAGTCGGAAGAAGGGGGGGGGCAGTCTTCTCCATTTTGGACCCCTTGATGGCGGCACGCGGCCCCCGAGTGCGGGCGCCCCCAGATGCCAAGGGGGAGGCCAGCAAGGAGCCATCTGCCAGAGTAGGGAGCGGGCGTGTCGGGTCCGTCTGGGGGCGGGCCCTGGTCCGTACTGGGCGGCCCGCCCGCGCCTCCGAGTTCGGGAACCGCGGCATGAACCAGCCCTGCGTGGACATGCGCACCACGCGCTGCTACATCACGCCGCAGAACCACGGCGCGCCCTGCGCCTTTGGATCAGAGACGACGAGAATGGGGGCGAATAGCCCAGGGGAGAGCAATCCATGTATCCAGGGGCGCCGATGATCTATGTCTTCGACAAGGCTCCCGTGCGAATGCGTGTAATGCCAGCCCCTGGGCTATTCGCCCCTATCGTCGCCGCCGAGGAGAGGAGCGGGCCTGGGCCCCTCGGGATGTGTCCCAAACGCAGTGCTTGCACTTGGGAGTGTCTTGCTCCTGCTCTACGAAAGGAGCTGGGCCTGTCTGCCGCTCTGGCGGCGATGTAGCCGCCTCGTCGCCGCCCCGCCGCAACCCCGTCGCCGCGCGTCGGCTGGGCCTGTCTGCCGCTCTGGCCGCTCTGTTGCCGCTGTCGCCGCCTCGTCGCCGCCCGTCGTCTGGGCACTGCGTGTCTGTTCCTCTTTGAAGAGGAATCAGGACCTACCACCCTCACACCTCAGGATTTGTCACGCCCCCCGTAAATGTGCAGTGTGCATACGATTATGGCCCATAGTATGTTCATCTGAAATTATATCGTTGTTCATCTGAATTCAGCTCATCCCAGCCAGCCAGTATCCTCCCAGTCCTCGCAAGTAATACTATGCGCGAACTCGTTAATCGAAACTCAGCGGTGTTCAAGAATGCCTGGCAACAAATGAGACAAAGTCCACGCGCGTGCCGTCGCACGCGCATGCCGAAATCATTCAAAGCCGTTGGTTTCGAAGTTGTTTCGAAGGCTGTCGTCGTTTCGAATACATTTCGGCGCTTTCAAGATTGAGATTCCGAACATTTATGAGCACACAGAGAAACGAGAGTTTTGTAACATGAGGGTTCGAACATGAGAATGCGCTTGCGCTCGTACACGTCCATCACGCGTTCAGAAGATAACGTTTCTCGATTTCTCCGCGATGTCATCGCATGCGACCAAGCGGGCCTTTCGCACGCGCATGTCGAGGACATTGGAGCGCCCTTGCGTGCGTGCCGGGGTTGGGTGATCCCTGTCAAATTATTTAATCGCTTCGCTCATTCCGCCGGCCCGTATTGTGCCATCGCAGGCGTTTGCTTGCGCGTTCGTGGCCTCTTGGAGCCTCTGTGGGGCCGTTTGGGGCCTCTTGGAGCCTCTTTTTAGGCCTCTTGGAGAACTCGGGAGGCCTCCAGGGGGCCTCCTGAGCTCTCGTGACGGTCTCTTGGGGGGCTTTCGGCGGGCTCTTGGCGGTATTTGTTGGTCCTCTTGGGGCCTGGGGCCTGACGTTGTTGGTCCTCTTGGGGCCTCACGGGAGCTTATTGGGGCGTCTTGGGGGTGTCTTGGAGAGTCTCTTGGGGCCTCTTTCGGGGTCCTGGGCGCCTTCTGGGGCGGAGGGCTCGATTTTTCAGTTCTCGGTTCCCTTCTTGAGCCCCTCTTGGGCCCGTCTTGGGGCCTCTTGGTCCGCCTTGGGCAGCACTTGGGCCGTCTGGGGGGCGCTCTTGGGCCGCTCCGGGGCCGTCTTGGGAGCCTCGTGGGCCGTCTTGGAGCAGTCTTGAAGGCCTTTTGGGCCCTCTTGGAGCGTCCGGAAGCGAAAAGGCCAGAACGCAAAAAAAACATAGAAAAAACCAATGAAAATCAACGATTTTGGCAACTTGGGGCCCTCTTCGGAGGCCTCTTGGAAGGCCCTTGGAGCGTCTTGGAGGCCTCTTGGGCTGTCTTGGGGCCATCTGGGGCGTCTTCGGGCGATCTTTGGCCGTCTCGGGCCTCTCTTGGACCGTCTAGAAAGCTTCTCGGGGCCCTCTTGGACCGATCTGGAGCCCTCTTGGACTCCGAAACAGAACTCCGGCATCTCTGACCCGACCTTGCCGGGACCTTGCCGGGGACTTGCCGGGACCTTGCCGGGGACTTGCCGGGACCTTGCCGGGGTACTTTTCGTCCGGGGACCCCCAGGGGCCGCCCCGCGCGCGCGAACTAGAAATACTGTTAACCAGGTACCAGAGATCTTAGCACGCCCTGGCCCGTTGGGCCGGCGAATTCCATGCATGTCATTCGCGCGCGTCGGCTGCGCGGGCATTTCGAAATCTTTCCAACACCTTCATCACCGACGCGTGGATACCATCATCGTCATCGACGCGATCGGCATCGGCGCCGTCATTGGCCTTGCCGTCGTCATCGTCATGTTCTTAACCCGCGTCCTGGAACTCGTTCGCGCCGTCTTGGGGCTACCGTGGCCTCCTACGAGGCCGTATTGGGGGTCCCCTGGGCCCATTTTGGGCCGGCATGGGGCCCTCCTACGACGTCTTAGGTCTCTCTTGACCGTCTTGGGGCCCTCTTGGCCGTGTGGTGGGTGTCTGGGGGCCGTTGTGGGGCCGTCTTGGGCAGTCGAATGCCTTCTAAGGCCGTCGTGGGTCCCACGGCAGGCCCACTTGGGCCGTCTTGGATGCTTCTTGGGCCATCGTGGGACCTCTTGGGGGGCCATCTTGGGACCTTCTTGTGGGCCCCTTTAGCCGTCTGGGGGCCATCGTGGAGGCTTCTTGGGCCTTCTAGAGCTGACTAAAGCCCGAAATGAGGATCATGCGAACAACATTCAAAGTCCCAGCGGCAATCAAGGATGTTTGCTTTTTCGGGCCCTGCTGGAGGTCCTCTTGTGGCTCTTTTGGGCCTCATTGGATGCATTTGCGGCCGCCTTGAGACCATCTTGGACCGCCTTGGGGCCATCGTGGGCAGTCTTCGAAGCGTCTTGGACCATCTTGGTGTCCCTGGTTGCCTGCATGGGCCTTTTTGGAAGCTCGGAACGCACGCCAATCGTGTTTTACGGAGGTGTGTGGCCTCGGGAGCACGGGCCCATGGTTTTTTCACGAAGGGTCGTGGCATGCGGAAGGGGGGGGCGGTGCACGCAGGGAACGCGGGTAAAGGGGGGAGGGGAGCCATTACCAGGCAGCCTTTGCCATTCTTCCGCGTCTCAACGTGCACAAGGACGGTGGCGTACTTCGACGATGACTTGTACGCACATGCTTGACATTTGGAGCTTGAGTTTGGCCAAATGTCGAAACAGTGTAACAGGTTCATGATTGTTCATGCTATCGTGAGTACGGGTATGGTGGTTCAAGGCACCCGATTCGCCAACAATGGCTGGATCATGACCAGAGAGTTTGCCGAAGAGGCCATGCAGACCAATGTCACGTTAGGCGACGAGTGGACATATAACGACAATGCGGGGTTTGATGGTTCTTGGTTGACCACAGCCTGAACATGCATGACAGCCGTTTCTAGCGAGGGTAATACAGACACCATAGCGAAGACCTCAGCAACCTTGCAGATGTTTGCCGAATGAGCATATGGCACGTGGGTTGCGCCAGCAATATTCTGCGCAAGTCGACGCCGCAGTATTCTCGGCACAAGCTCGTCGTTTCTGAAAATTGCACTTGAAGGTCATCCTGCAAAGGAGTGTGCCCGCCACTTGGCCAGGTAACATTGGAGGGCCTTTCAGAGTAGCCTTCGCACTGGGATACAGCCCACGATGTGAAGCAGACATCGTCTTTCTGCGCCAGACTCCTGGCTCCCACCGATTTCCCGTTCCGAACCATCAGGCCTGAATTGTTATTGTATTTCGCTTTGCCTTTGCAATGTAAAACAAGAGGCCCCCCCGACGCCCCCAAAGATGCGCCCAAGAAACTCCCAAGGGTTTCTGAGAGGCTCCCCCAGAGGCACCCGAGACGCCCTAAGAGGGCCCCCCTGGATTGCCAAGAGACCTCTCAAACTCCCCGAAGTCAAAATCTGGGGCCATCCTGGAGGAGATCGATCAAAGGCCAGGAGGCCAACATGTAGCCAACGTCATAGCAAAAAACAATGAGCTTGGCAATTTCGCGGAGGCCTTTTGGGGCGTCTTGGGTGCCCCTGGGAGGCCTCTTGGGGCGTCTTGGTTTTTTTTGGGGAGCCTCTTCGGGGCAGCTTGAGGGTGTCTTGAAGGCCTCTTGGGCCCCCTTGGGGCAACCCGCGGGAGCCTCGGGGGCCATCTTGGAGGAGATCGATCAAAGGAGGGGAGCTCCTCAGTATAGGCCCCCCCCCCCCCAGGAGGCCCAGATGTAGCCAAAACATCAGTATCATCATCGAGTTTGGCTTCTTCGCCGAGGCCATTTTGCATGCTCCAACCCTCGCGAACCCCCCCTTTCCAGGTCCAGGGGGAAGGGGTTGGGGGGAAGGGGCGAAGGGGAAGGAGGGAGGTTGGAAGAGGAACCGCTCTAAACCACTCACGCCCTAAAGGGCTGGGCCGGTGGGATTCCCTTCCTCCCTCGCCCTCCCTTCTCTGCGTGCCCCGTCATTACTCCTTCACCCTCTTCTCCTGACTTTTGTCCCTGTCCACCCCGCAGGAGGAATCCAGGGAGGCGGAGGATCAGGAAGGGGAAGGGATGAGGATGAAAAGTGCGAAAGGTGTATTAGCCGGCCGCTCTGCGGTTGATGGGGAGTTCCTGTATAGAAGAAGAGGCGTGTGTTTTTGGTCGAGCGGAGCGGGAAGCGGTGGTGCCGCGGGTGAGGATGAGGAGGGTGAGGTCTCCTCTTCCTCCTCCTCCTCCTCCTCCTCCTCATCCTCCCCCTCCTCTTCCTCTTCCTGATCCTCCTTATCCTCCTCCTGGTCCTCCTTCTTCTCCTTCTCCTCCTCCTCCTTATCCTCCTCCTCTCCCTCCTCCCCCCTCTGTCCTCCTTCTTCTTCCTCCCTGCTCATCCTCGCCATCGTCCGTGGGGGCCTCCTCTGGGGGTGACGATTTGGCAACTTTGCGAGCGCGTCTCGTGCGGGATCCCCAGCTTGGGACGCACGGGTCGACCTCTGCCAGGATGTCTCGAGCGAGGGCCCCGGACTGAGACGCCCGATGCGCCGCGTCGCGCCCCGGCGCGCGACGACAGATCCCCAGAACTGGTCTCGGGGGGCGCGTTGGGGCCTGACTTTCCCGCGCGCCGTGGGTCGACCTTTGCCAGGATGTCTCGAGCGAGAGCCCCGGACTGGACACGCTCGGCGCGCCCCGGCGCGCGCCGGCAGATCCCCAGAAATGGTCCCATAGGGGCGCTGTAGGGCTTGACTTTCTGGCGCGCCGAGGGTCAACTTTGGGAGGATGTCTCGAGCGGGAGTCCTGGACTGGGACACGCCCAGAGCGCCCTGGCGCGCCACGGCGCGCGTCTGAGGGCTTCCTTGGCTAGGCTCGGGGTGCTGGTTCTCTGAGGATGTCCCACGCGAGGGCGTTGGTTTGGAACAAGGCAAATTGTATAGCAAGATAGCACGATTGCCAGATTGTCATATCCTGCGCGACCTCGTGTGTAAGCCTGGAGGAAACACACCAAGGCAATGGTACCGCAAGCGCAAACGCGGACGCCCGAAGCTACAGTGGGCGGCGTTCGTTTTCCCGTACGCTTTCTGATCACGCCTGCATTCTTCGTATGTAGAATTCGAAGAGTCATGAACTGCCGATGCGACGTTTGGGCGCCTGGCTTCCTGCTGCTGCGCCAGATTTCCCGGGTGTCCCGGAAACGGAACACAAGGGGGCCTTCGGGTGTGCCTTGAGACGGGGGTCAATGCAAACGGGGGTCAGCCAGGACACCAGATCCTGCAGGATCCTGCGAAGACCCCCTCTGGCTGACCCGGGTTAGCGAGCCGCTCGTGGCCGCGAGGCGGCCGTGCATATTGGCTGACCCGGGTTTGCGAAGACCTGCGTTGCAGTTTTTTTTCCCGCATTGCAGTTGTTGCTTTTCCTGCTGACCAGGGTCTGGCGGGTCAGAAGATCCCCGAGGCTTCCGAAGGCCTCCTCGGGGAGGGTCGGGGGGGGGCAGTTTTCTGTCCCACGCGAAGGCGCCCGATTGAAATTCGTTGCCGGATTTCCTAGAGTTCCCGGGAACGGAACAGGGGGGGTTGTCGGCGGGTCTATTCTCTCGTGCGCCGGGTGGAAGGATGACGTGAGTTCTCAAGACAAGCTCTCTCAAAACAAATGATGGTGTCCATGATGGTGATTACGATGGTAGTGGAGTGTATGTGGATGGTGATGTTGATGATGATTATGGGGAGGGGGGAGCGGCAGGATGACGCCCCCGTCGTCGGCGTCGCCGTAAAAGCCGTCGTCGACCGGCCAGGCTTCGCCATCGACAACGCCTCGCTGTCGGACCCCCAAGCCTTTTTTCCACGGGCCGGAGCGTCACTCCGCCTTTTCCATTACATTGCCACATGGGCATTGCCGCTGCAGAAGGTTGAAGTGAGCAGGGATATATGCTCCTCCTCCTCCTCCTCCTCCTCCTCCTCCCTCTTCCCCCAATCCTCCTCCCACTGTCAACTTGTCAACTTCTTGCCTGATCTGATCGAAGTCGCTGGCCGTGGATGTCGAGAAGATCTCGTTCCACCCCTCATTCTCTTTTCCTCCCGCTCCCCCTGCCATACCTCCTCCACATCCTCCCCTCCTTCTCCGCCTCCCCTGCTTACCTTTGTGTTCAGTCCGCCACGATGTCAGCCCCCCTGTAGGCAGCATACCAAACGGCCTGCTTCTCGTCCTGTCGCGCCGCTGCCTGGCCTTACCCCGTGTCCCGCTCGCCGTCCTGATCCTCCTGCTCCTCCTTCTCGTCACCTCCACTGTCAGCGCCTCATCGCTCCTTCCTCTCCTCCTCCCTCCCTCCCTCCGTCCTCCTCCCTCCCGCCTCCCTCTCTCCTCCCTCCTCCCTCCCTCCTCCCTCCCCCTTCTCCCCCGCCGTTTCTCTTGTTAGTGCCGAGGGACCTCCGAGAAAGCTCCTTCCTCCGTCTCCCTCCCCCTCTTCGCCTCTCTCGCGGCACGCTCCTCGGCCTCCCCCGCTCGCCGCAGAGAAGCGGCGCCCTCCCCCGGGTGTCGTTACGTAGAAGTGCCCATGGCCCATGGTGTCTCCAGGATTTCCACAGGAGTCTCCGGCGGCCTCAAGATCAACCACCCATCACGAGTCCTAGGAGGCTCCAGGGGCTTCTACCCTCCCTCCGTCCTCCTCCCTTCCCCCCTCACCATTCCCTCCTCCCTCTTTCCTTCTCCCTCCCTCCCTCATCCCGTCTCCCCCTCAGTTTCTCTCGTGACTGGGGTTCAAGGAGAGCATGTCGTCCTCAGATGTGTCGGAAATCATGTTCTGGCATCAGTATAAGGTTTACAAGTTGTTTGACCTGGATTGTTTCCAGGACCGTTGCCGAAGAGTTGGTTTCTTGGCGTCCAGGCTGGGCGCTTGCGCCTACCACTGTGCCCAATTTGTCAAAGGAGGGTGTTATAACAGTTTCTTCCACCGCGGCAGCTTTTGTCAGGATCCAGGTGATCCTGGAATTCGTCCGCCGTGACCTTCCACGATCCATCACATTACATACCTACACCGACGATGCTTCGCTCAACTGTGTGGGCCTCGCGGAGGTGGTGGTGCTCGATCTGACCGCTGTTTCCAAGCCCCTGCACAGGACCATCGCCCTTTGATTGCAGGCTGCTCGCTGTGGACCGATCGCGAGGGTGGGCCCGCGGCCGTGCAGGCCTGCTCAGTGTCGCCCCCTCCGGAGGTGGAAGTGAGCGAGGTTCTCGAAGGACTCGCTTGGCCCATGACGACGGGGGCCGTCCACCTGGGGACGGACGGCGCTCCAGCGAAGGTTAGAGAGACCATGGGAAGGGGATCCCGACACAGGCATCGATTCGATGTCTCGCAGGAGTGGCCCTGGGCACAGGATCTGGCGGCTCTGTCCACAGGCTGAAAAAGGTGAATCCTGCCGGGTGGCGCTACGTCCTTTTTCCGCCTCCCGAGGGGCGCCACGACGTTGTGCCACTTCCGCCACCAGCAGGACCCCTTAAAGCCGAGAAGCGAAATCTGATCCTTATCAGGGAAAGACCGTCAGTGCCGATCTGGCGCGTGTCGATCAATCCGCAAGCAGCTGCAAGCATCGATGTGTCAGTTTTACTCGCTGTGGTCATCGCACGGCCAAGTCCAGGGCTGATCTCCGCAGGCGTCGCCTCCAGAACTTCACGACTGGCCCTCCTGTTTGGCATCTTTGACGGTGTGGAAGTTCACGGCTGCAGTGATGGAGGTTTTTTTCATTGTTCCGTTGCTCTTTCGGTGGGTCAATGCAGCTTTCGACAGGCGGCAAGCGCGTGCCTTTTCTCACGATTGTTGAAAACGATCTTTGTTGGCTAGCAGTTGTTGCGCCGACCCTGCCTTGGGGCAAACCGCTTCTCGTATCACCACTCTCTCGCTCCTGTTCCAGGCGTTGAGGTAGGCTTGGACTTCTTGGTTTGTCAGGGTGGACATTTCGAGGAGGAGTGGGAGACCAGTGGGCTCGATGAAGCTCTCGTTTTCCGGACTGATTGGGCCATGCCGGGCCCGTTCACGTTTACTAGCGACCTCCGCCAGGATATCCGTATCTTTGTTGCGTCTCTTGGGTTGCTAAAGAAGCTACGCAGAGAAGGAGTCCTGAGGCCGCCTGAGTGCGCTGACAGCGATGTCGTATTGAATCAGGGTAGATGCGATGGTTTTTGCCACCAGAGGGCCTCGTTTTCCCAAGGCTCCAATTCTGGACCAGTGATGCGACGTCTTCCAAGCTGTTCGGCCCTCCTGAGGCCCAGCGCCAAGGCCGTGTTTGCTGGGCCGTCTGGACCAGGGATTGGGTTGTTCTTTTTCCGTCGGTTACCAGCGCGAATTTCTGCGTCAGTTGTTCGGCGAGCCAGCTTCGCCGGTCCACAGCTCTTGACGCTTCGCGCATCGCAATGATCCCGTCCAGACGATCGGAGGCGTTTTGGGAGCCTCTTAGAGGTTATCTTGAGCCATGCTTGGCTACAAGCAGTCGCGGGATATCTTGAGCCATGCTCAGCTATCTTGGGTCATGTTCAGGCTGTCTTGAGGCCTCTTGGAGGTGTGCTGGAGGCTGTACTGAGTCATGATCGACCTCCTTGGGACGTATTGTGGGGTAGGGGGAGGAATGGGCGGAGGAGGAGGATGATGAAGAAACAGAGAAACTAATGAGGAGGGGGAACAAGAGGAGGAGGAGGAGGAGGAGGAGGAGGAGGAGGAGGAGGAGGAGGAGGAGGAGGAGGAGGAGGAGGAGGAGGAGGAATGCGTCACGAGGAAGATAAGGAAACGGAGGAGGATGAGGAAGGACGCAGGCAAAGACGAGGGAAGGAACAGACGATGGCAAGGAGGACGAAACGTCTGGCTCTGGAAGTGTATTGTTGTGAGAGGTTATTGAATGCCACTAAGGCCATCTTTGTAGCCTTTTCGGGGTCCCCGTGGGTCCCCACGGGACACGTGAGGCTTGAGGCTTCTTGGAGGTGTGCTGGAGGCTGTATTGAGTCATGCTCGACCTCCTTGGGACGTATTGTGGGGGTAGGGGGAGGGATGGGCGGAGGAGGAGGAGGGGGAAGACATAGACAAACTAATGAGGAGGGGGAAGAGGAGGAGGAGGAGGAGGAGGAGGAGGAGGAGGAGGAGGAGGAATGCCTCACGAGGAAGATAAGGAAAAGGAGGAGGAGTATGAGGGAGTGAACAGGCTCAGAGGAGGGAAGGAACGGACGATGACAAGGAGAACGAAACGTCGGGTTCTGGAAGTATGTTGTTGTGAGAGGTTATTTAATGCCACCAAGGCCATCTGTGTGGCCGTTTCGGGGTCCCCGTGGGTCCCCGCGGGACACATGAGGATTTCTTGTGGCTCTTTTTTGGGTGTTTTAACGCCCTCGTGGGGTTTATTGGAGGGGGCTGGGAGACCTCTTAACATCCCTGGCTCAAACAGAGGGGGGAGTATGGATTCGGGTTCTCCCTCAAATGCTACCAGAATCGCGCCTTGAGGCCTCTTGGTCCGATCTTGGAGCGCTCTTGGGCGCTTTGGGAGCCCCCTCGTGGCTCTTGTGAGCCCCCCCATCGGGCCTGTCTTGGGCCGTCTTGGGGCCATCTTGGGGAGCCTCTAAAGCTCATCGGGAGCGAAACGGCAAGAAGGCCAACCACATTGATTTCCCTTAGGTGTCGTAGGCCCAAATGTGGCCTCTTGGGGAGGATCCTCGGGGGGAGCAGCGGGCACTGGAGACCGTCTGAAGGCCTTGGTAAGGTCTGAAGGGTGTGGGCCGGAGGCTATCATGAGCCATCTCGGGGTATTTTGACCCATCTCGTAAACCATCTTGGAGCCATCTTGGCCCACAGGGCATCCTCGGACACATCCCCCCTTCGGGGCCCAGGGAAAGTGGTAGGGGGAGGGGTAAACCCTTCCTCCGAGCAGGAGAATGAGAGATCTCCGCAGAGAGAAGAAGCCACCCTGGTGGTCCTCCCCGCCTCTTACCGACGAGGGCGTGCTCATCGAGTGGTACAATTACCTTTGTAGGATTGGGGGGTAGTTCAAGGGCGCGCTCTTAGACGGTTCTTGCTCGAAGAGCCCATCCACAGAGTTGTCTCGCGTTCGCTGGGGCCGTTGTGTGGTCAGACCTGACAGCATGCTAAGTTGCACTGTGGCTCCTCCAGCTTGGAGCTCAACCCCTTAGTCTAGACGAGGAGGGGAGTGTGCTGCTTTGGCTGGCGTGGTCTTTATATACGGATTGTCCCAACGTGTTGAAACAGCTTAAAGCCCCCTCGTTCGCGGAATAGTTAGCCACACGCTAGCCTACAGTGGCATCGTTTTTTTGGCTTTGTCTGAGAAAGATTCGTTGGCCAGTTTGTTTAAGGCGAATGCCCGCCTTGACACAAGCGGGGATGTTGTTGAGGCGGGGTAGACAGTGCGCATTCGAGATGATTTGGCTGACGCTGCCACCAAGAGAGGGTTGCTTCAACACTCCCATCCAGACCCTGCTCTCAGGGAAGCCGTCCCGTTTTCACTTTGTGTCGCCTAGGCCGTGGGGAACCTAGCGGCTAACTTAGTAGTTCCCACGCTGTCATCGTCTCGACCTGGACGGGGTGCCATACGAACGCCCCGAAAGATGTCCCCTGTCGCCTAGCGCGTCCACGAGCGGTCCAGGATGGGGTTTGGCAATGTGCTCGCTGCCGAAAGGGGGAGGCGCAGCCAGGTCAACGAACGTGGCAGCATGGTGGAGCTTCCCCCAGGTGTTTGTTCCCGGCGTTGCAAGATCCAGCTCAGCTTGCTGTCTGCCCTTCGTCATGGGTGCTGGGCCGTCGACTGCTCGGACGAGTTACTGCGTGCTTTCGCCAGACATGCCGCGGCTGGACGTCAAGGCAGGGGTCAAGTCGGCCTCAGCCTGCGAAGGCCCGCCGCTCACCCTGGAGGGCAAACCGCGGACACCTGATTCGTGGCTCTTAATGTGCAGAGGTCTCCACTCGAAGATGCCTCGGATGGCGCTGCGTGAGCTCGATGGCCGCCCTGTGCGGCTACCGCCCGGAGGGTTGGTTGAGGGTTCCCTCGACTCTGCTTGCCAGACTCGTGCTCGCACTGCGTTGCCCCCCCTATCTGTCCCAGCTGGCGCTCCTTGGTGGTTTCTTGGATCCGCGCTGGGTCCCCCCCCGGCGGCGCCTTCGGCGCCGCCCCATGGCGCGCTCCGCGCGCCAGGGAGGGGGGTCCAGCGCGGATCCAAGACATGAGCGCGGAGCGCCAAAGTTTGTGTTTAAGTGGTTTTTTTGTTTCTCTACAACTGGCGGTTCCGCCTAAAATCCCCGGTGCACCCAGGCGGGTGCCCTGGAGCAGTGGTCGGCGCAGTGGTCGACGGCGAGGGAAGCGGAGGAGGCTTCGAGCCCCCATGCCGCGGTCTGCGCCCAAGCAGACGCTCCTCGGCCTCCGCCTCCGCCCCCCTCCCTTGCTGCCAGACCGCGCCCCGCTCCGCGCCCCCCCCGTCGCCGCAGAGAAGCGGTGCCATCCCTCGTGGCATCGCTCGGGCGTGTGCATTTTCTCTTCGGCTGGGACTATCGACGAGCACCACGGTCTGAAACATGTTGGGGGTGTTTGTTTTTGTTGCTGTTGGTTTTTGGGTTTTCACGATCGGCGTGTTTCCGCTCTGGTTTAGGAGCCGACGTTTCTCCGTTATGTGGTTGCCGTCTCGCCGTTTCGGGTTCGTTGCGCGATCCGTGTTCAATTTTTTGAATTGCCGTTTTTTCTGTTTCCCGTTTCTGTCCAGTCTTTCTTGGTTTGGGTCGCCGTGATGTTTTTTGTTTTGGGTTGCCGTTTCTTGTTCGTTCTGGGCCTGGCCGGTGTCGTTTTTGTTATGGTTTGGGTTGCTGTTTTTTTTTGGGGGGGGGGTTTGTCTGAAGTCGGGCCTGTCCCTCTACAGGAGGGATGCTCAACAATAGTAAAAAATAGTCTTGGGACGATTTTTTGACCACGTTCGATCATGTGGGGGGTATTGTTAGGTTTTTTTGGTTCGTCCAAGATCCGCCTGTATGAGGACACGCCCGACCTAAGATTTGTCCGACCGCCACGCGAAAAATTGAAACGGGGAAAAAACGCCCCCAGCGTTTGGACGAGTATCTGAGCGGCAAGGCAGGCACGCGCGAAGCCGAACAGTGCACGGGGAATGGACGCCCGAGCGGTGGCGAGCCCTCGGGCCACGCCGCGGGCCGCGCCGCGGGCCACGCCGCCGTGGCGGCGGGCGGACGGTTGTCACGCCGGCGCCCGGCCCCCTCGCAGGGCGCCTCGGGTGCTGCCGGAGGTGCCCCTGGCCCAAGGTGCTTCAGGCGTTGCGTAATGGGGGGGTCATAAATGGGGGGGGGATCGAGGGTGGTCCGAAAAGGTTTACCCAAGCAGTACCTGAACCAGTCCCCTGGGGCTCCAGAGGGGCTCGAAAGGTGCATAAAAGGAGACCTTTTCTGACCCGCACATTTACGACCCCCCCACTAAGCCTCGCCAAAAGGTGTCCCCGGGATTTTGTCGGAGGCCCCGACGGCTTCCAGAGCGCCCTTCACGAGGCCCAGGGGGCCCAAGGGTCTTCGCGAAGGAGCCCGCAGTTTGGGGTACCTTCGGCCAGGGGCTCCCTGAACAACCCCCGAGCTCATTTCGACTCCTTCAACTCGGTTCGGTTCGAGTTCGATCGACTCCGATTCCGATTCAGTGCGACCCCGGATTCCGATCCAGGCTTCGGTTTCCCAATGGAGGCCTTACTAGTTTGCCGATTTCCGCCATTCGACTTCTCCCCATTTGACTGCCGATTTCCGCCGATCCGATTCTTCATTTCGATCGCCGATCCGACTCGACGATTCGAGTATGGGCTCTCCTGCCCTCCTGCTCACTCCTCCTTCTGAACCTACGGGAGCTCCCAACTGGGAGCCCCTTTAGTGGGACCATGCAAGACCCCGCGCTATCCCACGCTTCGTCTGTACATACAGCGTCTCGAGGACGAACCATTGCCCAAGGCTTTGCCGACCAACTAGGATGCTTCCTTGTAGTGTTGGCTTCGGCGTTATCTGGTTATCGTGTGGTATCGCATCACGATGGGGTCCATTCCATTCCATGCCTCTCCACTCAACTCTGAGGATGGACAGGTACCCATACCGTTACCCCTGCCTCTGTTGTTTTTGTTTCGGCCTCCTGGAAGGCCCTCAACCCCACCTGGATTCGCCGCGTAATTCAGGTCCGAATGCACCCTGGGAGAGGTCTGGGGAGTAGAGATGTCTGTATCTCTTGGTTTCCTCATCCAGGCCTCATGGTGCCCGAGTGTGTGGGGTCGGAGGACCGCGCCGCATCGCCGATGCATCGGTTGTGCGGCTAGATGTAGAGACCGATTCTCTCCACGTTGGTGGCGCCGATGCATCGCCGACGCGTCGGCAATGCATCGGCGACGCATCGACGATGCGGCGCGATCCTCCGACCCCATTTACACGGACCCCATTTGGGAGTTTTCAGTCCCTCGTTCATCTGGCCCCCCTCCTTCCCTCCCTCCAACTCCTCGGGGGCCCCAGACGGTGCGATGACAAGGTGGGGTTTCGGGTTGGCCGCACAGTTTTGGGACGTTGGTCGTTCTCCGGAGATATCTCGGACGATCGGGGACTCCGAGGTCCCCAAACCGTGCGGTTATTGCCTGTGCGGTGAGTTCTTGGGGGACTCCGAGTTCTCTGCTCGGCCTGGCACCGCACCGCTGTGGCATCCCATGACGCTGGCCGTGCCCGTGTCCGTGTGCACTGGGCCGTGGCTCCGCCTGTCTGGCGGCTCTGTCTCTCGGCGGCGCCGCACCGATTGTCGCCGACGGTTCCGTGAGCTGGTTCGTCCGCGACGTCTCCTGGAGCGCAATGCGCGGCCAAGGCTTCGCGCACTCTGCCCCAGAGGGCAGGGGCACCGCCACGGGCCCCGCACCCTCTCCGCTCCGCTCCGACGAGCTGTTCGCCCCGAGCCGGTCCGCTACCCGCCACGTGCCGAGCCGCCGCTCCGCTCAGCGCCTCTGCAGCAGGTCCCTCTCTCTTCTCCTGCGCGCCCGTCGTGCGGGCCGCACCCCGAAGGGGAAGCGCGGGCTGATGCCTGAGCGGCTATGGGTTGCTCGGGGCGCTTCGGCGCCCATTCGAGGTCACGACATGCCCAGAAGCGTTCGCTGCACTGCTCCTCAGTGACAGTTGACCGCTTCCCAGGGCCGACTCGGCTAGACTCGATTCCTCACCACCATCAATACCCTTCACACTTTGTCGCTTTTTCCTGTCCTCCTCCTCATCCTTTTCCTCCTCATCCTCCTCGTCCTCGTCCTCCTCCTCCTCCTCCTCCTCCTCCTTTTCCTCCTCCTCCCCACTCCTCGCTCCGTGTCCTCCCTCCCCCTCTTCACTCCCCACTCCTCGAGTTTGAGCACACTTTGACCGTCATGCCACCGCTGCACCACCACACCCCGCTCCTCGTCCTTCCCCCCTCCAGTCTCCAGCGCGCGCGCAGGACGGGTGGATGCCGCTCATGATCAACGCTAACGACGGCAGCAATGAGGGCACCGGGGCCGGGCCTCGGCCCCCTTCTCCTTCCGTCCTCCCAGAAGGGCAAAGTATACCTTTTGCGTCGGCGGCTAGGCAAAGGGACTGCGCTGGCGAGTAAAGCAAAACGAGAGGCGTTAGACGACTTCAACCACCATGCAGGAGGGAGGGGAGAGAACGACACTGCGCCGGCCCGGTGGGGGACTTAGAGGAGTCGGGCCCGCTCAGAGCAGCCCAGGAGCGTGGCGGGGCCAGGGGCCAGGGAACCAGCGGCGGTGGCGGCCGGGGGACTGGCGGCAGCGGGGTTGACGGGTACAGCCGATGGAGTGGAAGTGCAACCAGTAAGGGTACAGTGTACACGCCGGTAGTCGGAAGTAGGTATTTTTTGATGCCCATGTCCCCATGTTTTTAAAGCGTTTTCCTACTTCAAGAATCGATCTGCCTCTGCTGTGGTTTGTTGTTCTCTGGGAGGGCCTGCGCCCAGTCTACTTCATCCACCCTTCTACTCTATGTTCTTATGTGCTTCAAGCAGTGGCGAAGCGTCCTGGCGTGCCTATAGGCCTACCAGACAATGTTCTAGGAACCTTTTGTGGTTTCCAGGAAATGTTCGTAGAACATATCTGGCTGGGATTGTCTTTTGTTTTATCACATTGTGAATATTTTAAAAGAGAACTGTTTGTGGCATATCTGGGTTCAAAGTTTAAACGTTTCGTGATAGGCTTATAGGAATGCCTGGGCGGTCCGTCCCTGCTCAAGTGTTTCTTGTGACCGACGTGTACGCAGAGTAATCGCCGTTCGGGCCCCCCCCCCCACACGCACGCACGCGCGCGCACGCACGCACGCGCGCACGCGCGCACGCACGCACGCACGCACGCACGCACGCACGCACGCACGTGCGCGCGCGCATGCGCGCACGCGCACACGCACGCACGCGCGCACGCACGCGCGCAAGCACGCACGCGCACG